GAGCCTCCTGAGATGCGCCCAGACCATCCCATCGACCCCTTCTGATGGGCTTGTAGGGGTTAGCATGCAGGGTTCAGGGCTTAGGGTCTGGGATTTTGTTTTTAAGGTTTGGGGTTTCAGGGTGTAGGGCTGAGGGTCTGGGATTCTTGTTTTTGGGGTTGGGGTTTGGGGTTGAGAGTTTTTTGGGGGATTTGGGTTTAGGTTCTTTGGGGGTTTCGCTGCAGGAGAGTATCCCTGATCCCACTTGGGATCTTAGTAGCCCAGTAACCATATTACAATAAGGGCACCCTTTTTTGGGTCGGTTACTTTATAAGGGAACCCATCACCAAAAGAAAAAAGGTAAAGGGTACCTCTGGGCTACTGAGGGATGCTTTCGCCATGTTTGGTTCTGAACGATAAGCGATGCCCACGTCTCTTGGTGATCTGGACTCAACCCAGGAAGAATCTGGGAGCCCCACCATATGGGGATTTACGAAAAATCAGAGACCCCTAACATAAGACCCCAAACAATGGGATTCCCTTAAAATAAGGACCCCAATAAGGCACCCCCAATTTCGGGAGCCCCACCATATGACTGCAAAGTATGGCGGAGGTCCCAGCAAACACCAGCCAAGGGCACCAGTCACACAGTGCCCAAGACTTCCTCAGTCGCTCAGGGAGGTACCAGCCATTCATCTCATCAATCTTAGGGTAGTTGCATGGTCCCTTCATATGGGCCCTTAGAATGGGACCCCTTTTTTACCCCTTATATGCACCTTTCAAGAATCTTTTAAAGGAAGTGGAGGACTATATTAAGGGACCATGTAAGTAACTACCCTTAGAACGAAACCATGTGCTCAGGCCCAGGCCGTTATCCGTTCTACGTGCTTCAGGCTGGCTTTCACCGTGTCGTCCAGCTTGGCCAGCCGTGTCTGCGTCACTCATGAGACGTTCGGCTAAAGGAAGTCTCTTGCTAGGTGTCGATTTCAACAGCCCCCAAAACTATGTATAATAAGGGCTCCATGATTAAACAATAAGGGAGATTCAAAATTCTCCCAAATCGATACCTAGCTTGGGTTTAGAGTCTAGGGCGGGGACTGAGTGCGTGCTGCTTAAACTTCGTGGATTTGATGGCCCTCAGGGACATAAAGCCTCCACGAAACCCTAAACCCTAAACCCTAAACCCTGAACCCTGAACCCCGAACCCTCTGGCTTGTCGTAGCCTCCACTTCGACCTGCAGATTGCGGATGTCGTCCTGTGGCCCAGAGGCGCTTGTTGCCCCTAAACCAGGGTTTAGGGCTTAAGGGTGTTTGGGTGTGGGGTCTTAGGGTTTTGGGGCTTTGAGGGTCTTAGGGTTTCAGGGTCTTAGAGTTTAGGCTTGCAGGATTTTAGGACTTAGGGTGGGGGGTCTTGGTGCTTAGGGCTTGGGTCTTGAGGGCCCGGAAGCCACAAAAGCCCTAAATCCCCAACCCCTGCAAACCCCGAACCCCGAAGCCCTAAACCCCAAAGCCTTCACCGCCCGAAGCCCTGAACCCTAAGCCCCTTAACGCTGAACCCCTTAACCCTAAACCCCAAAGCCTGCACCCCCCGAAGCCCTAAACCCTAAACCCCGAAATCCTGAACCCCTACACAAACCCTCAAACCCCTCAACCCCTCAACCCTAAACCCTAAACCCCTAAACCCCTAAACCCTAAACACAGAAACCCCGAAACCAAACCCACACTCCCCGAAGCCCTAAACCCTAAACCCTAAACCCTAAACCCTAAACCCTAGCCCTAAACCCTAGCCCTAAACCCTAAACCCCTAGACCCTCAAAACCCCCAAACCCCCCCGAAGAGAAAGCTCCTGCAACTCGAGCTCCCCTGAAGAGACCGGCCTGGGTCTGCGCATCGTCCGTGGCATTGACGGGGAATTTAGGGTTTAGGGTTTAGGGTTTAGGGTTTAGGGCTAGGGTTTAGGGCTAGGGTTTGGGGTTTAGGGTCTTAGGGCTTCAACAACCCTAAACCCCAAACCGCCCCCAAAATCCTAAAGAGCTCTGAGGGTTTTTGGTTGGACGTTGGACTTAGGACTTAGGGCTCAGCTTGAATCGCTCCCCCCAGAATTAGAAGGACCCTGTGTCCCTCTACATGCCATGCTTCGTGTACCCACTACCTACACAAACCTCAAAACCTAAACCCCAAACCCTAAACCCTAAACCCTAGCGCTAAACCCTAAACCCAAAATAAATCCAATCCTGTTTCCTTCACCTGTCGCCCGAAACTTCACACCCAGGGTATTTCCTGGCGCTCCGGCGGCTCCACGGTCGTGAGCCTGCCGGCGTTACTGGGTTTACGGGCTGTGGGTTTTATGGGCTTATGGGTTTATGGGTTTGTGGGTTTATGGGTTTCGGGGTTTAGGGGTTTGTGGGATTTGTGGGTTTAGGGCCTTAGGGTTTATTATGGTAGTTTTACGGGTTTGGGGTTTACTATGGGTTTCTGGGTTTATGGGTTTGTGGGTTTGTGGGTTTAGGGGTTTCGGGTTTATGGGTTTGGGGTTGGAGGGGGGGTTGGGGGTTGGGGTTCAGGGTGCGGAGTTTGGGGTTCGGGGAGGCTTGGGGTGTATAGGCCTCCGGCTTCGGGTGCAGATGCCCAATGGAGGCCCTGAGTTCATGCAAGGCCAACCCTTCAAGAAATGCCATCTGTGGCCTGAAGACCCCCCAAAACCAACAGTTTTTGAGCCACAATCAAACAAGTACTTGTACAAAAAAGAATCGTACGAACTTAAGACCGAGTGCTAAAAATCGACACCACAGTCACAAGTCACAACAGACCAATCGCAACTGGCAACTAGTAGTAGTAGTAGTAGTAGTAGTAGTAGTAGTAGTAGTAGTAGTAGTAGTAGTAGTAGTAGTAGTAGTAGTAGTAGTAGTAGTAATACTTGAAAGAATCACCGAACCCTAAACCCTAAACCCTAAACCCTAAACCCTAATAACTAGTGGTCATAAGCTGATACTGACGATCATCATGATCGGAGCAGTGGTAAGAATCCTCCGGCCGCCCTTCAGCCTTCACGGAAAGCCCCGACATACCCTAAACCCTAAACCCTAAACCCTAAACCCTAAACCCTAAACCCTAAACCCTAAACCCTAAACCCTAAACCCTAAACCCTAAACCCCTCAACTCTAAAGCTACGTGCCGAGCCTGTCCGGCGCGTGACCTGGGAAGCCAGGACTAGGGAGCAGACGTGTGGGCGACGCAAAGGCTTCGAGGGTTTAGGGTTTAGGGTTTAGGGTTTAGGGTTTAGGGTTTGGGGTTTGGGGTTTGGGGTTTAGGGTTTAGGTTTTCGGGTTTCCCGGTTTAGGGCGTGCGGGGTTCAGCGTTCAGGGTATTCGGGCTTCAGGGTTCAAGGTTAGGGTTGAGGGCTTTAGGGTTTAGGGCACCCCGAAACCCTAAGAGGCGTCGAGGGATTGGGTACCCATCAGGGCTGTTCTAAACGTGGGTCCTACTACATTAGGGTTTAGGGTTCAGGGTTCAGGGTTTTGGGTTTAGGGTTCAGGGCTTATTAGTGTGTAGGCTTTTGGGGTTTCGGGGTGGATTTGGAGTCCATCACAATCGAAGGTCTGAGGGCCAAGGGTGTAATGGAGCTATGCAGGTGGCTAGGGCTAGGGACCACAGGAAAACCTAAACCCTAAACCCTAAAAACCCTAGAACCCTAAAGCCCAAACCCTCAACCCTAACAGAAGGCTGAGTGCCGCTCCCAGCTTTTCTTTCAGTCGCCGCAGCTGCTTCTCGGCTTTCTCGGCCTCGAATGGTGGCGGTTTCGGGGTTTGAGTTTAGGTTGAGGTTTGGTCAATGACATCTGCTGCAGGGCAGGAAAAAGATAATAGCAACAATCAGTACGATTGCCAATGGTTGTGAATCGGAGTCTGTTGAATGATGATGAGAACAGGACAAGACACTTGTTGCTAGAACAACTTATGCTTCTAGCATCTTGTATTACGGGCATTGATAGTAGTACCATAATTACGAAGAGTAATTCTCTTCTTCTTCTTATCAGTATTATTATTGCAACCAGCATCGACTTGGTGAAAGAACTGAAGAGTCACGAACAAGCAGTCG